AAAAAAAAAAAAAAAAAAAAAAAATAAAAAAAAAAAAAAAAAAAAAAAAAAAAAAAAAAAAAAAAAAAAAAAAAAAACGGTATTCCCTCAATTCACAACGGCAACAAGCGAACAAAAGAGGAAACGTAGATATATGAAATAAAATTCTTATGAAATGCAAGAAACCAGAAAGATTGCATGTACAAATATTCACCATTGTCCGTTGTTTATCTTTCGTTGCCAAGCTACTTTTTCTATTGACGCAGTCTTTCTATATACGAAATATTTATCAGTTAAGAGATTTTCAATATGCACAATATGTATGCAGGTATGCGAATGCGTGATTTTCAGGGTCTCCGAATTTCCAACAGGGGGTCCTCCCCTCCTTGCAATATTTTACGTGCGAATCAAATTTATGCAAGCCGTATATGTGCTCTCAATTGGTCAGATGATTAAAGTTTATTCAATGTCATCGGTGTTACCAGATTGTATCGACAGTCATGCAGCAGTCAAGCCAATGATGAATCAGCCCTACGAGGAATGAGGTTAAAGTGACGAAGTAGCATTGACATAGACGGTTAGCAGGAAAAATGAATGGGAGATATATGCGCATTATCGGTTGTCAAAAGCGCACAGCCTCCCAGGATCACTAGATGGGGTGACGAATAATACGATAATATGATGTTAACAAACTTTTTGCATCATCGGGTGTCCTCCAAAGACAATTGGCCGGTCATTCTCAGAGACAAAATTTACGTATATGGATACCAACGCCAACATGCGCATGTGAATGTGCGCGATGGTCCGATAATGTGATAAGAGAATAAATAGTAAATATAGATACTGATGTGTTGTTATCTTAATATCATAATTTTTTGCAGACACTTATCACAAAACGTTTTTATAATTATAAAAACACAATTCTTCACGCTTACAATCTATGTTTCTATCGGTATACGATTAAGAAATGATTATAGACAATAATGATGTCATTCCTTTCTCTCTCTCTCTCTCTTTTTTTTTTTTTTTTTTTTTCCTTTAAAAATTAGATATTTCGAAGGGAACGTCAAATGGTTTTTAGGAAGAACAAAAAAAGAGAGCGAAGTGTGACTGACACCTTCGCATCTTCATTTATAGATTAGCATTGCGGGATGTTTTCGGTTTCACACATTGCAAACTTCCCGGATCGTGACCATTTTTTACCGCTTTCCATAGTTTGCGGGACAGCACATGCGATGGAAGAATTCCTAGAGGAAAACGGGAAACGACCGGATGGTTGATTATCAATGGCATCGAACGCCACCGGAGGTGTATCTAGGAAAATCCCCATTCCCCTTTGCTGTTGCCTTTGTGAATTGAGGGAATACCGTTTTTTTTTTTTTTTTTTTTTTTTTTTTTTTGTTTTATCGGAAAGTTTAGAACAATTGGTTGAAAAATTGAAATTGAGGAACATACGCAGACATTTCCCTAAATGGACATTTTAACTCAGTTTCACATGAAATTTCAATTTCAATAAATAACAAATGCACATAAATTCAACAAGCAGGATGCATAAAATTCAAACGTGTTTTATATTATAGTTAGTGTATGGATTACTGTTTGAAACTGCTACACTCTTAGAAGTCACAATCGGAAATAAATAATGCCTTTGGGGATTTAGTCTGGTACAGCTATCGGCTAAACTGCCTACTTTTATCATAATCATTTATGGAATTTTGATAGAGCGTATTTTCCATTTTCATTGGTTCATGTTTCCATAATTACTTAATCTCTATCTTGGTTGAAATCTAACACGTGTAACAACAATTTTGCGACAAAAAACTTTTTCGTTTTTTTTTTTTGGATACGTGAAATTTAAATTTTCTGGGTTGGGCGACTTCGATATTGTGTATCCTGAAACTACGCATGAGAAGAATTCACCTAACAATGTGAAAGAAACGGTGCATGGAAGAATTCTAACAATGTAAATCCCTTTATCCAATTTATCTGCGTATTGTCCGTACGGCGTTCATTATTATTACAAAAGAAAAGAACCTTTTTTTCTGCTTTAAGTCAATTTTATTAAAACTCCACGGCATTCCTGCGGTATTTCTTTAGGGACTAGAAAAGAAAGTGTCACCAATTTGAAATGATAAAACAAGAGATTAGTTAATTTATCAATCAATAGCTGAAGGAATCACTGGCCAATGTTTTTTTGGTTTTTTGGGGGGGTGAAACTAAAAAGCATGCTAGGCATCAACAAGAATTTATCGTGTTGTCTATGTGCGCACAGTTCATTAAATAATCACAAATATTTATGATGCATAATTCTACGAGGAGTGGTGGTGGGATGAGTGGGATGATAAATAAATCCTTTATCTCAAAACCTGGAAGGAATCTCACTTCCCGTGATTTCACAAATTGTCCCTCGCATGACAGTGGATCGACCAATCTCACATTTAGAAAAAATTGACTTAATTTCCGGTTTTACGGCTTGTATTTTGCATCGTCGCGGGAAGAATAACTTTTTGTTTGAAGAGCGCGGATGCGGACAAATGATTAGGTCCGAACTCTAACAATTATGGAAACTTGTAAAATTAATAGGAGTTTATTTTTACTTTTTAGCATCTCGTGTGCGTTTACCAGATAATAATCTTGTTTCATTGTCTGCTTTACCATCAAGATGAATGGTGATTGATGGGCAGCATGAATTTCTGTGGAAATTTTTTTTTTTTTTTTTTTCTCCTGTTCTCCATTCTTTAACAATCGATTATCCACCAAGCCTTTGTTTTCACTAAATCAAAGAAGATTCTTAAACAATAACGTTAGTGGATCACCAATCGAATTTGGTGATCATTACAACGATAACAAAATTCAGAGCTCGGGTGAAATTCTCACAATTCTCACGATCGCTATTCACGCACCAATAAGAAGAAATATCGCGCCGTTAATTTTTTTTTTTTTTTTTTTTTTTTTCATGATAGAAAATTTGTGTTAGACACGAAGATAATGATATTATCGGAGATGCTGGCACAATTATGCGAAACGTGGTGATTTCCTCCTTGATTTACTTGTAGTTCCTTGCATATCGGTCCGTTCGTTATGACCGATGATTTCTTTTTTGTTTTTCAAGAAAAAAAAAAAGTCGGAAAGTTAACAACGTGGGTGTGCAACTGCCTATTTGAAGTATAAACTTTGCTGCGATGAACCATTTTTTTTTTTTTTATTGCGTTCAGATAATTATCTGAAGCGGACCAACCCTAAATTGAATTAACGCTATCATCAAAATCATCATGAAATCATTAAAAATTTTCTTAAAATAATTACACACGTACGAATTTGGCGAAGATTACATTAAAACGATCGAGCAAGAGGTGCACTGTGTGTCGAACTAAATTGATTTTCCCTTTGTAACATGGTATGATTTGTAACATGGTATGGATTTGTAGCATAGCATGATTTCTACTCTTCTTGTAACATGGTATGATTTTTCAATTACGTATATATTTACCAAAATAAAAATAAAATATAATTGTCCCCATACTTTCAAAAAGATACTGAAGATAACAGAAAAAGAATTCGGAATTCATAAAAAAAAAAAAAAAAAAAACTGGTTTTGATGTAAAATGTGTGGCTGATGTGTCAATTTATCAAAGTTTCAATCCGCGTTATGCATAAGCTACTCGTTATCTGGACGATGATAATTGCAAGCCTTTTTTTATCTTTATCGTGTAATCATTTTTTTTTTTTTTTTTTTTGTTTATTTCTGATTTTTGAATAAAAACTCGCTTTTTCGCCTCCTACCTTTTATCAACTTTTTCCTTTCAAAATTTTTTTTTTTCTTTTTAATTAAAAAAACATACCGATTATATATATATATATATATATATATATATATAAGTATATATATGTATACATGTATACGTACATTGTATATATTGTTACTTACAATTATGTGTGTGTAGGCAACATAAATAACTTTTTGACTTTTATATAAAAGAGTAATTGCATTCAACGAAAAAAAATTCTTTTTAAAAAAAAACATTCACTTCTTCGATTACAACTAATTAATTTTATAAAAATAATATCTTCATAACGAAGTGAGTATTTATTTTCTATTCGCGATTTCAATTGTTAGTTGCCCCGAGAATAGAGATTGGCGACACAGCTCTCTTTTTTTTCTCTCTCGTTTATTTTCATTTTCCTTTCCTTTCTACGCGCCCCTCTCTCTTTTCACCTTCCTTCCTTCCTACCTACCTACCTACCTACCTACGTACATCTATCTGTCTGTTTATTTCCTTGGTTTAAAATAACTCTAACCAGTGATTAACCGTTGGTGTTTCTTCCATTTTATAATAGAACTTCATAATCATATCAAGAAACAAGAAAACAACGAAAAAGAACAAACAAAAAAAAAAAAAACAAACTCAATTATTATTAACAAATTATCACCATGCCTTACACACCAGCAACATCAAGTTCATCGTGTGTCGCGGTGTCCACAATCCCTTCCGGAGGTCAATATTGCTATATTTCGTCTTATGTAAAAACCACACTTAGGGGACAAATCTCGAACGGAAACTCCGGTCTTTCTCGAAGCCTCTCAGCTAGAAATATGACTCTAACTGTGAAATCAAATTCCCCAGAACCTAGAATGTCCTTCAAACGTGATTCCGGTCGAGAGAGCGCTTTGAAGCAAGTTAAGGACATTCTTTCCACCTCACCTCAACTATCAACCTCGCCAAGACGAAAGTCGGCACCCGATGCATTCTCTCGAAAACCATCGCTCAAGGTCGATCTGCCATCAGCCACAGATGACTTTCCAGTTATGCTAAGGAAAAAGAGCGGTGAGATAGTCAGGTCTTCCCTTAAAAAAGGAAAATCAGAACCGACCACTCCCACCTTTCCAAAATACGTTCACTTCAACACCGACCTCGAACAAATCAAGTTATTCGATGAGTCACAGAAGCCGCAAGCTGTCAGCGCCGACATATCAGAAGCCGAGTCCGACGATGATGAGCTTGATTTGATATCAGATACAGATGGCGAGGAAGAAAGCATCCTGGTTATCAAAAATTGTGAACATGCCCCCCATGACAACAGAACGCCTCTCAAAGAAGGTGTTCGTCGAATCGATCTTTTTGTCTAATGATAAACGGAAACTTCAGGGTCGCGTTCAAGTTCAGAATATCGCCTTCGAGAAGGTCGTTAACATCCGGTACACCTTTGATTCCTGGCAATCGGTTTCAGAGGTTTCGACTTCGTACGCTGGAAAGGTTCCCAATAGGAGTTCTGCAAATAACTTCGATATATTCATATTTACCATAGAATTGATCGATAACTCCAGGAACTCGATCGACGGGAAGACCCTGTACTTTGCCGTCCACTACCAAGTCAATGGTTGCGACTATTGGGATAACAATGATGCTCAAAATTATCAAGTAGACTTTAAGAAAGTCTCTCCCACGTCATCATCATCGTCATCATCATCGTCATCATCATCGTCATTATCATCATCATCATCATCATCATCATCGTCGGATGATGACAAAAAATCTCAACCTTCTTTTTCATCAAAATGGTCACAACAAAAAAAGAATACTTTTGAAGCATGCTCTCCACCTTCTTTGAACGTGTCCAAGTCGACAACGAAAAAGTCGAGTCGATATGACATAAGTTCTTCGTTGCACGCAGCCCAAAGCGCCAGTCGACCGACTTCTTCATCTGCAAACTTGAGTAATTCATATTACTCCCCAGCAATATCATACGGAAATGACAGTTTCGGTTCATTCTTTCCAGGAAATTACATCGACGGGATGCCGGGCACCTTGGAATCATCAAACTCAGTTGCTTCCTCATGGGACGATTCGAAAGCGATCAATTTTCAATCGTTAAAACCATCAACACCCATTGCGATTCCAACGAAACCTGCTATCGGATCGACCCCCTATTACGATCTCGTCAATCAATACTGCTTCTATCAGGGTTCACCATATGGTGCCGCCTCACCGTACGCTAGCTCACCCCCGGTGATGACGTAATCTTTTGTAGAACTGGGAAATTTAAAGAATATTTCTTTTCGATGACTACTATCGTTATTATTCTTTCTTTTCTTTTTTTCTTTCCTTTTCCTTTTTTTTTTTTTTTTTTTGACACTAGTTTTGTTCCAAACATTAAGCGAGATGTTTTGCACAATAACCCGACAAGGAAACAAAAAAAAAAAAGAAAGTCCACACATTTTCATAATTCACCAAACCTTTATTTGATTATCTGTTGAACAATTGTACATGGTTCCTTTATGTTCTGTGTCAGAATCTCTACTATTACCTTTCATATAACATTCTTAGATTTATGATTTCACGTATATATATTATATATATGGACAAGGTTTTTTATACCTCATTTACTGCAAGGTTGACGGTTGAGAGAAGTCGGTGGAACAATTAAGAAAAATGCAAAAAAAAAAAGTAAAAATAAAGATGAAAAATTAGGCTGTAAGGTGAAATGAGAGAAGACTTCGTCGCTCCAATTTCCTATCGATGTATATATATCCCCTTTCTATCTTACAAAAAACCAACACCACCTTTTTTTTTACCCTACGATCAAGCGCAAGGCTCCAGTGACCAGTAGAGAATTTGTATTCTGGTTTCTTATGTTGAGCACAATTTGCGCGTTGTTTCGTGCGAGCACGTTGGCTTCTCACATCTCTCATTCACACCTACTCTTCTTTATCTGCAGTTTTGTAATTTAGCATTTCCCTTTACCACACTTCAAAAAATTGTTGACCTTTCATGTTATATATACTGTATATGTATATAAAATTATGTAAGAACCCATACGAAAGAAGGTTAATAAAGAGATTCGTCACAATATAATCGATAAGAATTTTCTGTTCAAACCACTTTCTCGCTCGTGGCCAATGAATCGAATTATTATTATTATTATTTTTTTTTTTTAGCAGTTTCCCGGATGATAGTTTTTTTTTGATAAAGTCCAATTGTATGTATACCGGTAACGCGAGATCTTATCTGGCAGATCTCAATAGTATGGATAATTTATTTGCCCAATTTTTATTTTATAATCTGAATATGTTGTGGCGCCAATTTTTCACGTGTCTTAAAATTCCTCATGCCACCGAGATCACATGGTTTCATCCAAGAAACGACCTTCGTCATGTGACACTCACACTATCTGATTATTTGGTAAAAAATATTTGTGGAAGTAGTCGTTTTCGGTCCCCGAAAAGACGCGATATGGCTATCAAAAAGTTTATTTTACGCGCTCCTCATCTTGGACTCGAGCAAGAAATCAGAAAAGGACGAATGAGGATAGGTCTACCTATTTTTTTAACTTCATCGGACACTTTGCAATAGACAATAAAAATTCATTTCTTGTGGTAGAGTTGACTTTTCCCGATTTTGGTCATATTTAGAGCATCACTTCATAACGGATTCATTATTAGAACATATGGAATTTCGCGTTCCTCCGATGGTGAAATCGGGCGACATTCTTATACATCCAAATAGTAATGCTCGACGTGGCCTTAAAAAAAAAAAAAAAAAATGCAAAGACCCCGGGTACTATTTTCCAAGAGGTACTGTATTCCTGTGAGAAAAGTTACATACAGTAATTCGCATGAGTAATGCAAAAACGTCACGAGAAGATCGACCGCGATGATAATATATTACCTTTGTCCCATTCGCACCAGCATATGGGCTGAACCTCAAAAATCTATATTTTAAACCAATCAGAATCAACGTGAATTTAAATTAAGCCCAGAATCAGATCCGCTTATATGGCGTAAGTTCATGCCGACTCTCGCGAGTCTTCTGATTGTGGAGTGAAAATCGAGGGATTCATGCTTAGGACAATGCATTAGGATAAGTTTAGATTATTGTTATTTATTATACGTATAACGATGCGTTAGAGAAAGATTGCCCATATATTTTGAAACGAATTTACTTTGGGAACATAAATAAGGTTCGTTCTATGCAAAGGACAAAACTTCATTAAAAAAAAAAAAAATGTACTACTTTACAGTATAATATCTAAACGGATTTCATCTATGCTTCTGATGATGAGAAAATTTACCATGTGTACATGTAGCCAAGAATTCGATCTTTTGATATGATTTACATAAATCAGGCGGCACTCTCATACAGTCACCCTAAAAAGTAATGCCTGAGATCAAGCTCACCAAGTAGATTTGAAAACAAAAGTTATCGTTTTATAATGACGGTCTTGTCCTTTCCAAAAGAGGAAATAATGATCGTTGTTCTTTTTCGACTTCTGGTTGTATGGTGAAAATCGTGAACCCAAGTTTAGAATAATACCGACAGATTTCTTGGATAAACCCATACCCACTATTCACTATTGTAATATTTACAGTACGCTTACATTTTCGAACCTTGCGATATGCTTTCGACTTTAATAACGGTACGGTACGGTAAAAGAAGGATTGTCCATATCATTTTAAACGGATTTACGGGAGGCTCGTTCTATGTAAAGAACAAAACTTAATAAAAACATACCGGTTATATACTGTATAATAAATAGGATGGTGTTAACGATTTTCATCTGTGTTTCTGACAAAGAGCAAAGTTACCATGTGCACATGTAACCAAGAATCCGATCTATGGTAGGATTTACACAAGTCAGGCGACACCTTCAAAAATTTTAGCCATTTCGGCAAATAGTATCCCCTTGGTAAATTATCCGCCTGGAATTATTGTCAAGGAAGCCGGTTTAAATTAATAATAATAGATCAATATACCGTATTTCATGGAAACCAGTCTACATCTTATATAATTCAAAACATAATTAATCTGTTTCATCTATTTCTTGTATAATATTATTTTGTGCACGTAAATTTTATATTTCGCCACCCGAGGCATTGCGAAAAGAGGTAATTAACAAGGCGATTTACAATGACGATACTATTCCCACGCAAGGTCCTTCCAATCATCGAAAGCACTGGATTTTAGTCGTATACAAGAGACCTTTGTCCTATTCGTATCTGAGTATCCGGTTGTGCCGAGATCTAACGTAAATGTGTGATGTTTGTCCTTACAAAAGTTATCAGCCCAGATTTGAAAAATAAAGTTTTCGTTTCAGAATGACGACCTTGTCCTTTCCAAAAAAGGAAATATGATCTTATTCTCTTTCAACGTCCGCGAGTCTTCTGATTGCGCATTGAAAGTAGTGGACTCAAGTTTTGAACAGTATTATTTATTGCCCATGTCTTTTGAAATGAATTTACTTTAAGAGCACAAGTTTCGTTCTATGTAAAGGTCAAAACTTCTTAATAAAAAACATACCGATCATAATATCCAAGATGGTATTAATTTACCATGTATGCAACCAAGAATCCGGTGATTATCCGATCATTTACATTTCTTCTATTCATATGTCTGTCTTCTGGCACTTTCATATAGTCATCCAAAAAAAGTAATGCCCGACGATCCAAATTTTTAGGTGCTGGCCTAACAATAGAAAAAGGTATTTTTATTATTAGCAAATAATATTAATGCAAACCGGTTTCCTTGATAACACGATGCACTATGTTTATGCGCGTAAAGCCATATATCTCGCCGCTCGAGGTGTTACAAAAACGCCACCGGAAGACCGTAGGAACATGGAGATAACACTATTCTCGCGCAAAGTCCTTTCATTCACAGTTGACCGAAAGATAATAGATAACAAACACATTGACAATGCGATTTGCAATGGATTTCAATCATATACGGAGATCTTTGCCCTATTCGTATCTGCGCGTCCGGTTATGCGAGTTCGTGCCGAGATCCAACGTATTTGTCCTTGCAAAAGTTATCAGCCTGTCTTGTCTCGTCTTACAAGAGGTGCAAAAATAAAACTTAAGTGGATTTGAAAATAATGTTAAACGTTACAGAATAGCGATCTCATCCTTTCTAAAAAGAAAATAGTGATCTTAATTCTTTTTCAACTCTCGCGAGTCGTCTCATTGTGTAATGCAAATTGTGAATTCAAGTTTAGATAACCCGATATCACCATTCACTATTGTGATATTTGCGTATGCGTTTTAAACTTCGTGTCATGCATCAGGATGAGTCTGTATTATTATACTATTACCGTATTTCGCAAATGGTATATCCAAAATGGTGTTAACGGTTTCACCTGTGCTTTCGATAAAGAGAAAATTTGCCATGTGCATGTGCATTTAAATTTTCTTTGCGTAACGTGATTTTGAATACCGATCTGGAAAAGCTGTCACACTTACCAAGGCAAGTATTCGATACAATGTTATATTAATTAAAAAAATCTGTGTATCATATGCACAAGTGTTATACATCACACAAACACTTTGTGTTTTTTAATGCCTTATCTGACGTACCCAATATTTCACACCCCGTGCCTATACACAATATACGATCTAGATGTGAAAAAAAACTACAGTACATCGTACACCGTTTCCTTTGAGATAAACACCTGGTTGATGGGTTGGCCTCTTTAATTAACCATCAACAAGTTATTATTATTATTATCCTTAAAAGTTATAAAGATGGATCTTTTTTTAATTAATGTTCAAATTGAAGATCCATAACATCAATATACTGTATTAAAACCTTAGAACCTCGGATAACAACAAAGAAACCTTTTACTTACCCATATTATTATTATTATTATTATTATTATTATTACTCTAGTTAGGTCAGGTTTTCATAAAGTTGATTCGAAACATGTAATTCAAAAAATCGAATAAATTCGTTATCTACTATGAAATGTCCAATGAAGTTAAAGATTAAAATGAGAAACAGATCTATCATCATCATTTGTCTTTCCTGATTTCGTGAGCCCAAGATAAAATCAACATATCAACCTTTATGATAGCCACATCTCGTCTTTTCAGGGATGAGAAGGCAAAAGATAACGGCACCCTCTGCAAATAATTCTTACTTTATTAAATATCAGTATTTAATGCTCGGACGATGTTGATATCACGTGATCGAAATCGTTTCCGTGCAATTTGGCTTCGCCGAACGAAATTCGCAAAATAAAGAAACAA